GAGAAAAGAGCAAGAGTCCAGGAGCACCTGAAAGACGAACACAATCTGTGGCAGGGGAGGAGCTTTCCTGAGTCCCTGCTCACTTCTTCAGACAGATCAAGATGGGTGGCCCTGTTAGTCTGTCTGCAGCAGGAGAAAAGAGCAGGAGTCCAGGAGCACCTTCAAGACTGACACAATCTGTGGCAGGGGAGGAGGTTGCATGAGTCACTGCTGACTGAAGTGACTCACGAGAGCCCCTCCCCTGCCACCGATGGTGTTAGTCTTTCAGGTGCTGCTGGGCTCCGGCTCTTGTCTCCTGCTACAGACAGGGCTGGCACGGCTCTTTAGTGAACAGTAAAGTGAGTGTGTGTGTTCACAGACTAACTTCTTGCTCTTTCCTTCTGGGAGACCACGGGCCAGTCTCTCCCTGTCAGCTAAACTTCTCTTACGTGAGGTGTTGTGAGGATTTCCCTAACTCCCCCTAACCCAACACACCTCTCTCTCTCTCTCTCCTTTCCTGAGCCCCTTCTCTCCCCCTCCGGGGGTCTTCCCTTTGGCCCCGCGTCCTGCACCGCCGCCTCCTCCTCCGCCTCCAGTCACATCTTCCTCCGCTTTCCTTCCGTCCCCCCTTGCTTCTGTCCCCCAGCCTGTCCTGGCCAGACTCTTACAGAAATGTTGCCTAGAGAGACCGGCCCAGGGAGGGATGATGGAGCAGCTGGGGGTGGGGGGCTGAACTCCAAAAGGGGCCGGGGGGACCCGGGCAGGCCGGTCCGAGGAGAGGGAGCAGAAGCCGCTGGCGCCACAAGGAAGACTCTGAAAAAGCGGCCATGTCCAGACGCCCTTCTGCCAGTTCCCAACTGCCATTGCAATGGAGGGGGGAGGGCTCTCTTCTGGATGAAAGGTGACAGGGTCTCCCCGCCTCCCCCCCTGGCTTCACAGGGGCACTCTCCTGTTAACGCAGCCCAGGAGAAGGACTGAATGTGCTGCTTATGGGGGTGTGCCATCACACAAGGAAACAGTGGCACACAAACAGCACCGTCCGCCGCAGGGCAAAAGAAGACGGGGTAACAGCTGGGCATGGTTCACGTGGGCAGCAGCCGTGCTGGTCTGAAGCAGCAGAGCAAAGTGCCTGCCCACGCCCGCTTCTACCCAGAAGAACACCTTGGTGGTCTTACAGGTGCCTGCCTGGGCTCGAGCTCTGCACGGGGGGATGGCCTTCTGGTGAGCCGCTAGTGCCTCATTAGCCTCCTCCTGTGTGAGTCTTCCTCGATTTTTAACCCCCCACCCTGGTCTTTCTCCAACTGCGCATTACATCTGGATGAGTAATTACTGCTCACCGTATGCGTCAATAGGTAGCAATAGCGGCTGTATATATGATATACGAGAGCACATGTATTTAACTCTGAGCGCATTGCGTGCACAGCCCTGCCAATACGGGTGATTCAGGACCCTTCCCCGACCGCGAGATGAGAAGAGACAGGATCATAATTGCTTTGTCGTAATAGATGCATCGCTGCCTTTCTGTATTTGTCTTACTGGCTTTCATGTGCATTCCTTCTCTAAATGACAACAAAAAATGTAGATCACTGTGAGAAAATCCAATATAAAGCCTCAAATGTCGTAGGGATGCATTCCCCCTAAGACAATGTTACACTTAAGCAGAGGAGAAACCTCTGGAGTGGATATGTATTTCACGGCATGAATTGTTCGGGGGGTGGGGGGTGCTGGCAGCAACATATTAGGCCATATAGCTATGTGGTTGGATCCTCGGTGTCTACTCCTCCAACACCCCTCAGATAAGGTGAGGGTCACTGGCTGAACCCTCACAATGCAGAGCCAACGCCAGGGCGTCTGGCCTCCGGATTTTGAGACCTCGCAGGCTTAGATGCGAATAGGGCTGCCAGCCTCCAGGTGGGGCCTGGGGAGCCCCCGCTTTTACAACTGATGTCCGGCTGACAGAGATCAGCTCCCCTGGAGAAAACGGCTGCTTCGGAGGGTGGGCTCTGCGGCATGGAACCCTGCAGAGGCCCCTCCCCTCCCCAAACCCCGCCCTCTCCCGGCTCCACCCCCAAAGTCTCCGGGTATTTCCCAGCCCAGACCTGGCGACCCTATGGGGCGGACGTGCTTCCATTGCACTCACGGCTGGGCCCGACTCATTTGAACTGAGCCCTCGATCTGCATAGACAAAGTTCTGGATCCTGGGACCCTTCTAGGAAATGAAGAGCGGAGACTTCTCTGGGGGTTAGGGTTACAAACCTCCCGTGAGACCTGGAGGCCGTTTGCAAAAGTACCGGAACCCATTTTAGGATGTGGGGTGTTTTTTTGGGGGGGAGGGGGAGTCTGCAGCTCTCTCAATTGAGGAGAAGGAATAACGGGGGCTAATCCTGATTCTTTTTTCACCAGAGTGAAATCTCCCCTCTTCCTTCTGCCTCCCCAAACCAATCTTTTGTATACAGAGAGACATTTCTTTCCGGCTTATTGTTCTGCCTTTACAGTCTCTCTTAACTCCATTATCTTTTTTATGAGAACAGAGAAAACTTCAAGTAGCAGGAGGGTTTTTTTAATGAGAGAAAGCAGCTAGACCGCAATGCCTGAAATGACGCATTCTTCAAATGGTCACCTTTCTCTTGGGTTCTCTTCAACCTCTGCTCCTTCTCCTCCCTTAATTTTACATTTTTCTTGCTCACTGAATTCTCCTCTCAGAACTTCTGTCCCCTTCTTCCCCCAGAGACCTCCGTAATGCTTTACCATTCTTTACTTTTTTCTGTCACTCCTGAGATCCAGATCCATCTCCCCAAAACAAGTCCTCTCTCCCCCCACCCCCCATTTCACTCTATATTTTCTTCCCCAATTTTTCTTTCCTTCTGTGTATTCATCCCCATTTTCTTTCCCCTGGCCTTGAAATTGTGTTCTCTGGAAACTGCTCTTAATTACTACAATAGTTCTTAACAACATCTTCCATAATCCAGATTTATCATAAATGTTCCATAAAATGGATGTTTTTTGGTACAGAGTTCAGATAACCTTCCTAATACTCAGTCTCTCCCATTCACAAACAGGTCATTTCAAGCCAATTTCTTGTATAAAAGTATATAATAAATAATACATTATTGTATAGAAATATGTAATAAATTAATTTCAAGAGTCAAGTGAGGCCTTGAGTTTTAACTACCTGTTTTGATATTCTTTTTATTGTTTGTAAAATGAAACAACTGAAGACTAGAACTACATGGTGGGTACACACCATTCTGTATTTGGGATTCAAAACCTCAGTTCCATCTTCACAACAGGTTTTCAAGGGTAAAGAACACTGCTGGATCAGACCATTCCAACATCCCATCTCACGCACTGGCCAGCCAGTTCCTCTGGAGGGTAAGCAACAGGGCAGAGAGGCTGAGCACTTCCCCTGATGTTGCCTCCTGGCTCTGGGATTCAGAGGTTGACTGCCTTTGAACATGGAGGTCCCCTTCAGTCACCAGGGCTAACAGCCACTGATAGACCTATCCCCTATGAATCTGCTAATCCCCTTTTAAAGCCATCTATGCACCTGTGGCCATCACCACATCCTCTGGCAGGGAATCCCACATTGTAGTCACTCTCAGTGCAAAGTGGCACTTCCTTTTGTCTGTCCTGAGCCTACTGCCCATCAACTTCACTGGATGCCCTCGAGGTCTAGTCTTTTGGGAGAAGGAGAAAAGTCCTTTGCCCCCTGTCTCTCCCCCCTCCTGCGTAATTTTATAAACCTCCATCGTGTACTTTAGCCTTTCCTCAGAGGAAGGGTGCTCCGGTCGCTTATTTTGCCGTGGGAAGCTGGCGGGGGGACCCTGGGGCTCTCGGGCACACAGGCTCTCGGCCTCACCTGCCTCATCGGGTTGCCGTGAGGATCAAATGAGTGAGCCAGAGAACAACATTTGCTGCCCTGGGCTTCTCGGAGGAAGGTCAGGATCAAAAAAGGACTAACAAATAAGACCGTGGAATATCTGCATGAAAATCAAGCCAGTTCTGCAAAAACACAATATTGTGTCAAAACTACAGTCCACAGTAATGCTTATTTGAGCAAAACTGGAGCGGGTATTTGGCAGAATGCCCAGCCGTGCTCGTAACACTACCAGGGGAAAAATTCTGAAAAGACCCTCTCCTGACTATGACAAAATGCCCCCCCCTCCCCGTCCACCCCGAAGTCTGCTCAGCATAAACACCTTATCAGCACGCGGAAGGCTGTCCCATTGACACCACCAGCACCGCATCCTGCAGCAAAATAATTGTCCTCCAGTTCAATAGTGCATTTCACAGGTTTAAGATTCAAGTAAATAATGATTGTCCCTGTGATTACATTTGCATGCCCTGAACGATCTAACTCCTGGAGTGAAAAGCAGCAAGGATATGAGTTTTGAAAGGAAAAAAACACACCTCAGACCAGGATTTAAACTTTAACTACTTCATGGCTGTCAAATGTGAGGAGGAGGAAGAGGAGATTGGATTTACACCCCATGGCCCTTCACTACCCAAGGGAGTCTCAGAGCGGCTGACAATCTCCTTTCCCTTCCCCTCCCCACAACAGAAACCCTGTGAGGTAGGCGGGGCTGAGAGAGCGCTCCTGAGAACTGCCCTTGAGAGAACAGCTGAGAGAAGGAGAAGAAGAGATTGGATTTATACCCCATGGCCCTTCACTACCCACGGGAGTCCCAGAGCGGCTTACAATCTCCTTTCCCTCCCCCTCCCCACAACAGACACCCTGTGAGGGAGGTGGGGCTGAAAGAGCTCTGACAGAAACGGCTCTGACGGAACTATGGCTTGCCCAAGGTCATCCAGCAGGTGCAAGTGGAGGAGTGGGGAATCAAACCCGGTTCTCCCAGATTAGAGTCCGCCTGCACTTCACCACTACAAACTGGCTCTCCAACCAGTTAGAAATATCATTAAATTTGAACCAGTGGGTACTCCAGTGGATATCTGCCTGCTGTAATGGGTTGGTTGTCTGAAACCAGAAAACAGATGACAGACGACAATGAGAAATCACTGACCTTTCTTGGCCAGACTCTTATTGGGTTCGTATTTCTCTATCAGTTGCTGGACCTGTCCTTGCTTCAAGGGAGGGTAGAGGATTTCGTTTAAGCGTGGGTCTCGTTGCTTCAAGTTTATAAACTCCATCATCTGGTCCACAGTCAGATACGGTCTGGTCTTGGCACCACTGTGGAAAATTAAAATGGAGGAGAGGAAAGGTAGGAGGATTACCAGACGCATCCCCACCCCAGTTCGACATCATTGCCATTCGTTCATGGGGAAATGATGTGAAGAAGTGCCCTTGGCAGGATTGGGACCAGCACACCTGAGGACTGACAGCTCCCATAAGCCATAGATACACAGAGGTAAAGGTAAAGGTTTCCCTTGCTGTGGAAAATTAAAATGGAGGAGAGGAAAGGAAAGGAAGGAGGATTACCAGACGCATCCCCACCCCAGTTCGACATCATTGCCATTCGTTCAAGGGAAATGATTTGAAGAAGTGCCCTTGGCAGGATCGGGACCAGCACACCTGCGGACTGACAGCTCCCACACGCCACAGACACACAGAGGGTAGCCGCTTAAGTACACAAAAAAAGTAGGACCGACAGGAAGCTGGAAATACATTAGTTCCTAATGCATCCTGCAAAATGCGAGTTTTTGTTTTAATTGTTTTAACTTGTCCTATTTTTATTGCACTTGGTGCCTTAACTGTTCTAATCTTGTGGTATTTTATTGCACAGTTGTGCCTATGTAAGCCGCCCTGAGCCCGCTTGCGGGGAGGGCGGGGTATAATGAAAAAAGAAGGACCGACAGGAAGCTGGAAACAAGTGCTAAATAATCCATATACGACACTACTACAATATGGATATTTCGTAAATCGTATCTATGCATGGTATATTGGGAAGTTGCTGCTAAACTAATGCATCTGATGAGGTATAAGGGATAAGACACGTTTTTGCTTGTATGGTCCCCTTCAGGAGAAGTCCCCACGAGACGATACGCCATTCCGGAGAACTTCGTTAACAACTGCCTCTGGACCTCCCATGAGCCGTATACATGCAACAGTTGTTAAATATATTGTAGTGGTGTTGTGTATGGATATTTAGCGTTTATTTCCCGCTTCCTGCCGGTCCTTCTTTTTTTGCGCTCCCACAAGCTCCCAACCAGCCGTGACAGGCACCTTCTGGGGTCCCCACTTGCGGTGCGCCCCACCTTCTGCAGCCAGGCAGGGGGGCACCCTGGGGGGGGGCTTCTTGCTCATGGCCCCAGGATGAGGGGACTCCTCCCCATTTGCATCCCTCTGTCACTGCCCTCGGCCAGCAGGCGAAGAAGACTTTGTTTCTGGTCTTTAAAAAATATTATTTTATTAGGCTTCTAGCCCTCCCCCGCAAGCGGGCTCAGGGTTAGGGTTTTAAGAGCCGGGGAACGTCATAAGCACAGCATGACTTAAAATCAACATCACAGTTTGCACGACGGATAATCCACTATCGATGGCACCCAATAATACATCGGCTCCAGGGCTCCCGCTGTGGGTACAGTCGCCTTAGAGCCTAACTCTGCGGTGGTGGTGGTGGTGGGGACAGGGTGCAGCCAAGGGGGTCCTGGCCAAGGGGTCTGGGGGGGGCAGGAACCCAGGCAGCGTCTTCTAGAGGGGGAGACGTGGAGAGGGGACAGGCAGGTATTTGGAGCTGGGACTCTGTCATTTACTCGTTTCTTCGTTTGCTTATAAGTCCACTTTATAAACCGCCCTCCCCTGTTTTCCATGGGGCTCAGGGGGACCGTGAACAACAATTCCAACAGAGTTGATTTCAGATCAAGTTAAAACCATTAAAACAGTAAATACAACACCAGTTTCGGATGACGCTAAAAACAACCGAATTGTAACCTTACCCAGTGGGGAGGGGGAGGAAAGGGATGGGAGCGCCGGGCTAGGGGGGGACTCACTGCTCTCCTCAACGGTGGGACTAGCGGGACACCCCTCCATTATGCGCCCCACAGAACTGCACGAGGTCCCGCGGGGCATGGATGTCACTCGGCAGAGAGCTCCACCAGGCTGGCGCCAGGGCCGGGGAAGGCCCCGTCTCGGGTCGAGGACGGCCGGAGGTTCTTTGGGCCAGGGGCCAGCATCAGGTTCATCTCTGCCAATGGGGGAAACAGCCGTAAACTATCCCCTGGTGTCAGACTAGTGCTGGGAAGCCGGGGGGGGGACCGATGGGGGACCAGTGGGGTGGAGAAGCAGCCCCTCGCTCCGGAGCCTCTTGAGGTGCTCCTCGGAGAAACGGCCTGGCTAGGACACCCACCGTGATGCCCCCCGCTCTCCCCGGCGCCTTTCCTGCTTCGAGACCCAGACGCCCACCAGGCAGGATGGAAACCAAGGGGAGACGTCCACCCAAGACATGGCACCCGCTGCTGCTCCTCGCTCTCTCTCCCTTGCAGTGAGCCACACGCGCAGCGGGCAGCGACACTCGGCGGCAAGATGCGTCTGACCCAAGGCAGCACCCTTTTTTGCTGGATGGCCCACAGGCAGTGTTCCCTCTGAGCAGAGTTAGTGTGAGCTACCTCACGGTTTTTAGACTCCAGCTCACACATTTTTGTCTTAGCTCAGGAAAGCCCCAAAGCAAACTAGTCTATGCAGTGGCCAGATCGCTCACTCACAACTTTAAGGCCAGTAGCTCACAAAGCAGAATTTTTCTCACAAGACTCCACAGCTTAGAGGGAGCATTGCCCATGACTGTGGGTGCTTGGAACGTAACATGGTGCCTGCCCCTTTTACCAAATGGCTACGTGTGGTAACAGACGGCCGTCTACACCAAGGGTTGCCAGAAATATCCTGTGCCACACCTTGAACTACGATTTGGATCGGGACCACTGCATGCAGTGGGGAGGGGCTCCTCCCTTGCCCTTCCACAATGGACCGGGGCCTGGGGGGCCCTCGCAGCATAGCCCCCCAACCCAAATCGGTCCAATCTGGGCTTTTTACACAGGAGTTGCCACCAGGGACCTGCCCCTGCAGGAAGGCTGAACGTCCCCTTGGCAAACCCGTGTGGGAAAGTATCATCTAGTTGGGTCCTGAGCTTCCGCTGGAGTGTGGTGGTGCCAGAACATCCTGGGACATTTCCCCACGGCAGGCAAACAAGTGGTGAGTGCCCATTTTTGGGCCCTCTCTGGGGCTTCCGACGATTTCTGATCAACTGGCTGAAGCCAGCTGGGCCCGTGGTTGCCTGAGGACTAGAGACGCTCAAGGATCCTCATCCTGACGCCCGACCCCACAGTCTCTACACCGGGCCTCCTCCTCCTCCTGCTGCTGCTGCTGCTGCTGCTGCTGTATAATCCACACCAGAAGCACACTGAGGTCAAGAGACGCAATGAACCACTTACGGCAGCCCATTACGGCCGGGTTGCGCCTGCAGGCTCAAAGACAAATTTGGATTAAGGTGACTGAACACCTGAGAGCGCACACCGGTGTTATTTCATCCCAGGGTTAAATCGTGAGGAGTAAAACTCCCTTTCGAGGAGGAAATGTTGTAACAGATGGACTAGAAACAATTTAAAAAAAATAGAGGGGGGATTTGGATGCCGGAATGACCTGAGGAGCGACCTGAAAAAAACACACCGGTAAGAGAGTCTTAGCAGCATTTTTTAGGAAGCAAAGCTGCTTCAGAACGGGGGGTGCTCAATTCGCCCCCCAGCTGCGGCTTACTTGATCCCAGCCACTCTCCCCTGAGCTGCCTCCTCACCCCAGGCCCCAAAACACACATTTGTGAGGAGAGACTAGCCAGGGTATTCTCTCACGAGCTTCTGCTTCACACCACCGGCCCTCTAAAGCAGGAAGGGTTCAATATTACACTAACCAATATTAAAACCATGGGGAAAGATAGACATTAAATATTAAATTTATAATTAAATTGCTTGCAGTATTTCAAGGCATTAATGCATAACCTAACAAGAGCCCCGCTGTTTGCTAATTTAATTTGGGCTCAACACCGCCCCAGGCAGCAGCATCCGCTATATGGATATGACTGCATTCCACACCCACCCAATTTCTGCAACCAGTTTTTTTTTTGGTGGTTGGAAACTGCTTATCTAATGCACACTGCTTGTAACATTCTCTCCCCCCCCATTTCCTAATTTATTTAAATGGAGCTTAAACTAGTGCAAGTCAGAAGATCAATAAAACCTGGAAGTCACGCAGAATCCCTTTCTGTTAAACTCCAAGCAAGGTGACACGGTGATCCATCTTACACAAGAAGGCCGCACCACCACTCGTGAAAGTTCAACAACAGAACAGACAGGTAAAGAAGTTTGCTCGGGGCTGTTGAGATTAGGGTTTGGGGCCTGCCTCGTGCAGAGAAAACACCACCGCCAGGGAAGCAGGAAGCATACAAGCTGGTTTCCGTAATTGCTTACTACTCTACGAAGATGTGTTCCATTTCAGGCCGAGGGCACATGTTGCTCAAGAATTCTCTGTATACTTCTGGGGTGAAGTCTTCTTGAGGGATGGAGTCGTTCTGTGAAGGAAAAATAAAACAAAGCCGCTAAAGCACAGGGTCTCAGTCCTACTCCATAACCCACCAGCCACCCTCCCTTGGTCGATACACTTTTGGCCACTGCACTGGGGCATAAACATGTGCAGTGGGGTAATTGCACGCCATACTTAATTCAGTCCTTCACACTGCAACCGTGCCTTCCCAAACACCTTCACATCACCTCTCTGCACCTGTGTCAATCACTGACCTGTTACCAAAACCCTTTCTCACAGCAAAGCGAACATTGTTTCAACCTCCCACTGTGAGCTGAACTGGTTGTTCCAAACTGCACCAGTTACAAACTGGTGGCAACTCATCAGTGTGCGGATTCGGCTGAATCGGGCAGAATCCATTTCGGCAGGCAGAAAGACTCCTGCGTGTCAATTTCGGCAGTACCAGCCAACTGGGGAGTCTTTCGCCAGAAGAATGTCAATTTCGGCCACATTATATCCTATGAGCCATTGAAGTCAATGGTGAAAACATAGGGTATATTCTGGGGGCTGGAGGAGAGAGGGTTTGTGGGAGAGGCTCCAAACTCGCAGGGTAGCTGCTGGAGCCTCTCCCCAAGATACCCACCAAGTTTCAAGAACATTGGACCAGGGATTCCAATTCTACGGGCCCCCAAAGAGGTTGCCCCCACCCCCTCAATTGTTTTCTATAGTGGGAAAAAGTAACTTTTTGGGGGAGCCTCTCCCTCAAACCCTCTCTCCTCCAGCCCCCAGAATATACCCTATGTTTTCACCATTGGCTTCAATGGCCCATAGGATATAATGGGGCTGAATTGCCACCGAAATTTGGCAGTAATTCGGCAGCAAGCCGATTCAGATCAGAGAATCTGAATCAGCCCGCAGCAGTCCGAAAGAGGCCTGAATGGGCCATTTTCGGGGGGTGCATTCGGTTCAGACGAACTGAATATACATCCCTAAGTGAATGCACCGGAGACTCAGTTTGTATCAGGGCCCTTGTCTAGAAGGAGGAGGACCTGCATCCTCCCCTGTGCTGTTTTTGGCAACTGAAACAGCTCGGGGGGGGGGAGGTGATGGGTGGGAGCCAGTGTTCCCTCTAAGCTGAGTTAGTGTGAGCTAGCTCAGTTTTTTAGCCTCCAGCTCAAACATTCTTGTCTTAGGTCAGGAAGGAGGGCTCCCGAGCAAACTAATTTATGCCAGTGGCTCACAAAGTAGAATTTTTGCTCACACGACTCCTCAGCTTAGAGGGAGCATTGCTGGGAGCATTATTTTCTCTGTGGGGAGCCAGCACATGGAAGCATTCGGGGCATGTGCCACTTCCCAATGGAGCGAATTGCTCCTCTCCCTCAGCCTCCGGACTGTTCCAGCACAGGAGAGGAAGCAGGAATTCTTCCTTCTCCAGCACAGGGGTCCCCGTCCAAATCAGGATCTGCTGCACATTTACTCAGAAGTTGCCACCAGGAAGTAGCAACTCCAGTATAGCTGCAAATCCTCGTGGTGAACTCCTGCAGTTTGTAACATCTAGTTAGGCTCTCTAACCCCGCATTTATAGTTCTACATGCACCCACAACAGTGCATCACACTTGTCGAATTTGATTCCAAAATATATACACAATGTGGCTTCAATTTGAATGGAACACGCATGCAAATATTCACGAAAACAATTTATATTTCCAGAGCCCACAAATATAACTGTGCTATCATAACGCCATTGGCAAAGGGCACCCTGCAGAAAGGAAACAGCTTCAAGTGTCACTTGCTTGTGTCCACAGAAGCACGATTTCCCCACCACCTGCTCCCTGCTGGTGCCGTCATAATTACCCCCCCCAACGTGCTGTTCCTTGTGGAAGTGCCCCCCCCACCAGGAACAGCACCGGGGACTGGAGGAGAGCAGCCGGAGGGGCAGTGGGTGAAAACCTCCCCCCAGAAATCCTCTCTGGGGCTGAAGCCCCTCCATCTGTCTCCTACAACTACCCTATAATTCAACAGTGGGGTTGCTCCGTGAATGCCAAAAATATCTACACTCTGAGGGTTTTCATACTGAAATAAATGCAAACTGCAAGATTCAGAAGCTGGGGACTGTCACAGACGAGGCCTACAATTACGTATAATGGCAAACATGGCCCGCTTCCATTTTCTCTTGAACCTGAATTCTTTGGTAGCAGGAAGACAGTTCTGGCAAGCGTTTAATAGCCCAGATCACATTGATCGTTCTAGCATTTTATAGTGGATGGCCGCCATGCTTAAACTGTAATTTTAATTTTAATAAGTTATATTTGGCTATTTTACTGATGTATTCTTTTAGATGTGATGTTGTATTAATTCTTATACTGGTTTTTAAACTATTGTAAGCCGCCCTGGGGGCTGCGGTGGCTCAAGTGGTTAAGACGCTGAACTGCAGGCTGTGGAAGGTCAGTAGTTCAGCAGTTCAAGACCCGAGTGTGGCGCATGACGGAGTGAGCTCCCGTCTCTAGTTCCAGCTCCTGCCAACCTAGCAGTTCGAAAGCAAGAAATTGCAGTTCGAAAGCAAGAAAAGCAAGATAAATAGGGACCACTCCGGTGGGAAGGTAACAGCGTTCCGTGTGCCTTGGTGTTTAGTCATGCCGGCCACATGACCATGGAAACGTCTTCGGACAGCGCTGGCTCTTCGGCTTTGAAACGGAGATGAGCACCGCAACCCTAGAGTCGGACTCGACTGGCTTTCGAGCGAGGGAACCTTTACCTTTACCTTTTAAGCCGCCCTGAGCCGCTTCGGCGGGAGGGCGGGGTAAAAGTCTAATAAATAAATAAATATTAATTCCATCCAGTACACACAAGCCAGGCGTTTAACTTTGTAGAGTCCCTCTCCTGGCTAATTAATTTGCTGCATTGCTTTTAATAATCGGGCAGGAATTTGTTCTTCCATTTTCTGTTAGACTAGCCTGTAGAGACGACAATACAGAGTTCCTACAGCATTGTATTAATTTGTACAGATGCCATCAAAAAGCATGAATTCTTTTCTAAAAGACGTTCAAACACTTCACCCCGTTGGGCCTAATGGCACATGAGGCAGCCCCCTCACCGTGGGTCTGGTCTGCCAGGAGGCCTGTGAGTCAGGCGGGTGATGTCAAGTTTGCATTGGGAGCTTACTCCTCAGGCGCAAGGGGCCCTATTCAGATCACAGGGAGAAAGAAAGGGTTTGTGCCTTCTTCTTCTTCTTCTTCTTCTTTCAAGCTGTTTCCCCAACCTGAAATGGCCACAGGGGAGTGCTGTTTTCCCAGTTATGGAAGCCCGTATCTAGCCCATTAATACAGTGGAGCCCCCAATGGGGCAAATATCACTTCCTGGGACTGTTTCGGGTCAGGATAATGGCGCAGAGGGAAAGGCTGAAGCCTCGTCTCCTTACGCCCTGCAGTTCCAACCCAAATGGGCCCCCCTGTGCAGCACCCGGGAGTGGAGTTTCCAGCAGGGTACTCACAAGAGGACCTGAGAAAAGGTAACGTGTCGTCTGGCCCTGTGACAGGGATCGGTTCCAGCCCCAAGGGAATGGGAGCATCCCCTGCCGACGGTCAGCACTTTCCCAATTAAACCAGAACCTTTCCCTGCTAAGTCCCATTGCTTCATGCCTACCTAAAGGCTCTGTACTGTTCTCGGTTGCATCTGAATTCTGCGTCGTTCCACCTCACCTTGCACTTCCTGCATTTCATGGCCTTTTGTCCCTCTACGCAGCTTCTTCTTCGTTATAGCCTCATATTTATCTCTGTCTAATGAAGATCCGCCGCACATCAGATGAAAGTGGGCTCTAGAACCCATGGAAGCTTCTGCTACAGTAAAATGTGTTGGTGAAATGTGTTAAAACGAGTTAGCCTTCAAGGCGCCACAAGGTTCCTTCTTGGCTTCACTTGACAGACGTTTGGGGCTACAGCTCTTCTACATGAGGGGGGGGGGACAGCCACAGTATCATGTGACTGATAGTACATTATGCCGATTGAAATGGCCTTACGAGAAAGACTCCAAGACACAGAATTAATATACAAGTACTGACGTCTTGCCTTTTCTTCATCCTGGATAATTAAGTTTATTGCCAACGCGGTACAGCAATACCTTATGTCCTTTTATGCTTTCAATGTCATCAGACTCTAATGATAAACTATTACTTTTAAGCTCTAATAATGAACCGTCGCTTTTCTTTTAAACCACTGTGCCTTGAATTGGGCCGCTGCCGCTTACTCATCTTTACCATGTTTCATGCTGCTCATAGCCAGATATTTTGGCAGTCAAGGCATTTACAAATGCCTAAACCAGGTGACTAAGACAGAAGAAGAAGAAGAAGAAGAAGAAGAAGAAGAAGAAGAAGAAGAAGAAGAAGAAGAGGAGGAGGAGGAGGAGGAGGAGGAGGAGGAGATTGGATTTATACCCTGCCCTTCACTCAGAATCTCAGAGCGGCTTATAAACTCCTTTTCCTTCTCCTCCCCACAACAAACACCCTGTGAGGTAGGTGGGGTGAGAAAGCTCTGACAGAAACTGCTCTTTCAAGGACAGCTCTGATCAGAACTACGGCTTGCTCAAGGTCATCCAGCAGCTGCAAGTGGAGGAGTAGGGAATCAAACCCGGTTCTCCCAGATTAGAGTCCATGCACTTAACCACTACACCAAAGCATAAAAGGTAAAGGTTTCCCTTGCTTGAAAGCCAGTCGAATCCGACTCTAGGGATGCGGTGCTCATCTCCATTTCCAAGCTGAAGAGCCAGTACTGTCCGAAGATGTTTCCATGGTCATGTGGCCGACATAAGTAGACACTGAGGCACATGGAATGCTGTTCCCTTCCCACCGAAGTGGTACCTATTTATCTCCTTGCAATTTCTTGCTTTCGAACTGCTAGGTTGGCAGGAGCTGGAACTAGAGACGGGAGCTCACTTTGTCAAGTGTACAACCACCCAATTTGGCGAACTTTGAAGTGATTTAAGAGAACGGTCTATGGGGCAAAGGTATGGTAAGGAAGTGAATGCAAATGGTATTAAGCTACTGCCCTCATGCCT